GATATTGATTTAAGTTGAATAAGATGTTATCAGGTTTTCGTTTATTGTTACAAATTTTAAAGGATATATTTATATTTGCACTATACATAATATTATTTCTATATAGGTATCTACAAACTGCGATGGTCAGGTATTTATAGAGCCTATTTTATACTGTAAATGTAAATAATTATAAATAAACAATGAGATGAAATTTTTATTTAATTATGCCTGTCACAAGAATAACCGACAGTTAGTTTTAATTGAAATATTGAAATTATTTAATTAATATTTAAAATTAATATACCTAGTTTCTTGTTATTATTATGGATACTTAAGTAAATAATGTATGTTTTGATGTCATTGCGGTTATACCAATAACCACATCCTTAATTTCCTAAAGGCAATTAATATAAAGGTAATATAATTAATATTTTCTTAACTATTATAGAAATTTAATATATAATATTATAAAAAATAATAATTATTTGTTATTTTTATATTTTATTATTATTTGTATTTATTTTTAATGTATTTTTTAATCATGGTGACCCTACGTTATCTCTAGCGGCGCCTTTGTACGTCTGTCCCGATTTCTCCTCAATGTTTCCTCGAATTATTTGCTGAAACAATAGCAGTCTTCATATTTGTGTCGTAGCCAAACATAAATACACCCATGTTAACATCATTAGTAATAAAAGAACCTTTAAAACTGTAATCTGTAAGGTTGATTCTCCGTTGGCGTAAAATGTATACATACGCCATGCTTCCATGTTGGTATGATGAAATGTCACTCGCGGCGTCTTTGAGATTAACACACACATTTGATAAACGACTAGATTTGTGATAATGACCAACTTTACAATCTTTCTTTTTTAAACATTACACGATTGCAGTCAAGGAATTATACCATACGGCCCGTCCCAGATTTGCACGGGTACGTGTGCAAACTGAAGAAATGTCAATAGGTTGACTCAATCTGGCTATATTGAGGTCATAAATTTGATGACACGGAGTATTCAGCATTGGAATTTTGAATGGGAAATGGTAACTATAGCGTACTGACATGAACAATAAATACGGTGTCTAATTTTATAATTGGACCTCAAAAATAACGATGCTGTTAATCATATAAATTCTCTCTAACGTTGACATTTCTTAGGATTAAAGTATCGGGTCTCATATTATAAATGCGAAAGTTTGTCAGTACCGATGGATAGATCGATGGATGGATATTTCTTACTCTTTCACGCAAAAACTACTGAACGGATTTTAATGAAACTTTAGAGTAATATAGCTTATACATCAGACGAGTACATAGGCTATAAATACCACGGGTACAGCTAGTTATTTTATAATTTCATGATATTAATTGATTATAGTGTTATTCTGATGTAGAAACTATATTATTGTATAGTTACATCAAAATCCGTTGTAATCCACTGTAAATTTTCATTGAAATTCATTCAGTAATTTTTGCGTGAAAAAGTAACAAACATCCATCATCCATGCATCCACACTCACAAACTTCCGCATTTACAATATTAGTAAGTAGTAATAAAACTACACAATTAACAACGTACTAGCTTACTGTCACAGCGCTGTTACACTGTAGATCATAACTGACCACACGGACGACTTAACAAAATAAAGCACATTTATGTACGTGTTTGTTTAATAAAAATATAAGTAACGTCTGAAGAAACAAACAAACAGAACTATGAGTGGCAGGGGACAATCACAAATGTGAATAATTCAAATGACCGACGCCAAATTGAATTGTCATAGTGAGAAGTCACGCAACTTTGTACAAGCAGAGTAATTAGGCTTAGGGCATACACACATAACTGGCTATTATAATGGTACAACAGAAAAATACCAGAGAATTGATAATGCGGTCAATTAATTTAGTTACTAAAATTTTTGTTTTTTTTCCACATTAAAACTTATACAGCCGTATGGATTTCACTACCATATTTTACGAAGGAGTCTGTAATTTGGACTTCTGGTACTTTACCTCTTTTAAGTGTCACACATCAAATGTGTTTTCTTATGTTGGATGGCATCTTGAGGTATGGGTGCCAATTTTTTGGTGCTTTTAGACGCTTTTTTTCATTAATTTCTCTTTTATTCTCTTTATATATAAATTATTTAGTTATATTTTAGGTCAAAAATACTGTATGATATGTAGGTATAATTTAGTTACATTTTTAAGTAAAAACTGCTCTATGCTTTTATAAATAAGAATGGGACCAATAACATCAAAGAGGAACTTTGTAGACATGATACCATACAGAATAGAGTAAGTTTTAATCTAATAGTGAATAATTTATTCTATGCATATTACTTACAATTGAAATTAAGTGTATTAAAAATTAATGTTAAATGACAAAAAACTATATTTATTACACAATCTTATTATTATAAACGCGAAAGTTTATGAGTATAGAGTTACTCTTTTACGCAAAAACGACTGAACTAATTTTGATGAAACTTGACAGTAATATGGCTTATCATCACAATAACATATAGGCTATAAATTTAACGCGGGTGAAACCGCGGGAACAGCTATACTTTATAAATATATTCCTGAACTGATTTGTCTCGAGTAGTTATCTTCATTTGCAAGAAAATGGTAAAACTTTTTAACAAGAAGCATTTCTAGGATGTTTAGTTATTTGGCAACTATAGCTCTACTTTGGATTACTTTAGAAAAATACAGGAAAACTGTCTGAAAAATAAAACTGAGTTTTTTTTAATAAATTAATTACCATTCTTAAACATGTCCGAACTAGGTTTTATTCCGACTTGGCGGGACTTGTTCAAACAATGTCGTGAATAATAGCGTAAACAAGGAATGTCGTGACCGTATAGCCGTTTAGCAAATATTGACGAACCCTGGCCTGCACGAATGCTACCCTTTGATTGATCGAGCATTGTGGTTACCTTATTGTCCTCGTTTAATGTTTCATGCAATTTGCTTATTAAAACTCAACGTAAATGAAATTCGGCGAACTTTTTGAAATATTTGTAATCGGATTGCTATTGCAAAGGTTGCGTAAGTAGTAAGGGTAGCAGTACCTTTTCGTATTAATGTGGTTTTTCAATACTGATAACTTCATAAGAATCTAATTTAATAAAAATTTTATTGATGCCTACCCACGACTAGAGGGATCAGGCGTGAATTTGAACCAAGTCAAAGAGGTCGTGTTTATGAAAATTCGACGAAATTTGAACAATCTATACCATCCAAACAGTCGTGCCACAAAACCTTATCTTGTAAACCAATATTTGCTTACAAAGGTACATATGTCCAAATCGGATTTACAACTTCGAGACATGGTCAGGGTACCGATAGAAAAAAAACTGATGGCTTATTTTATATTCATAAACACTTACTAAAACCACAGATAACATAATATTACATACTAAAACTAAATAGTGACAGAATTTACTGGCTTGTTTGTTTCGTAACATTAATTTTAGGTTAAATATAGAATACTGTAACGATTGTTATGATGGTTTGATTCTAGAAAGATTTATTACAACCAATCCTTAATCTTGTATATTATTATAACATTCATTATATATTTTTGTACATTGTTGCATGCCTCATCCTTGCTAATGTGTATTTATTTAAAACAACATTTATTCAAAAGAGCAACATGCAATTTTATTGATTGTTCTTGTGATGAGTCTGTTTTCCCAATGAGCGGTAGAATAAAATAAAAATTATATGACTATTCAAACATGCTTATATTAAATTTTATTCTATAAAAACAAAATTTCTAATTAGAAATAGAATAATAAGCTTTTTTTCATCACATATTTTTATTCTATTACTTATTAGGAACGCAGATTCATCACAAGATGAATGATCATGAAACTTGCTTGTTGCTCTTTTCAAAAAATGTTGTTTTAAGTAAATTCTATTTGCAAATTCAACAATCTATTGATATTTTTCACTCAATATTGTTAAGATCTGGAGAAGTGAGACATAGAGAAATAATTTTTAGTATTAAGGGCCTAGCATTATATTGCGCTATATTGAATTAAAAATATGAACACAATTACATAACACATGCATATGCAAACGCTACCCCTTATCGGCTTTATCGAAATTCATGTTCGATACAAAAATTACAACCATCATAACATGTAGTTCGTTTGTACATGATAGCATATCGGCGAGCCACCTTTGTCGCTGCCGACACCAAATCAAAGTCATAAAACAAACGTAATTTTGCCATCGATATGGGCTGACGGGCTCAAGATAAGATATGTCAGGCCCAAATCTGTAGTCGTGGGATTTAGTATTACCCTTTATTGGAATTCACGTTATATTCAGTCAATAACATTGTCAGTAGCCTTATGAAGTGGTGAATTTTGGTTCTAACTGACAGAAGACTGTATAAATCATATATTTGACACAGCTTTATGTACTTCCGATGGTAGCGAGTTCGATTCCTCGCATAGTACAAACATTTGTAGTCATGACTATGATTGTTTGTATTGGTCTGGATCTATGTATATTATGTATGTACTTATAAAAAATGGATAGGTATATCTATAAATTGTTTAGTATGCATAATACAAACTCTGCTTAGGTGATTTAAAATGAGCAAAAATTAAGGTCTGTAGCAATTCTGACTTGAAATTATATTCTGAACTGAGTAATTGAAGTCACTATCAAAAACAAAAGCCAGTATATGAAGAAAACCATGTTACAATGTAATATATTTCATGTTATCAGATTGTTCGTCAGTTGGTATAGCATTTAGAATCAACAGTAAAAGTATTTAGAAATATTATTTAATTATTGAAAAGTAACATACCTTTTCCAATATAACTGAATACGTATTTTGAATAAGCAGTGCCCTTTTTCACTAAGATTATATAATTTCAATTTATTCGGGCGTTACTTGTGACCTGGTTTCATTGTAATGATTATTGACTTGTAATTTTTGGTGGCGAGATATATAACATTGGTGTATAAAGTAATATGAATATAAAATAATTACCTCTGATGGCGTAGGTGTCATGGCTTTGTGGTGGTGGGGACGCCAGGCGAGGTTCAGGTCTGGATGCAGACGCTCCCCAAAGAGAGTGACAGATCCCATTTCTTAGCGCTTCGCTTGCTGACACTCCTGTGAAAGAAAATGAATACATATTTATAACATCTGCTGGATTATAACTATTGTACAATATTACTAAATTATATCTAAAAAAATGCCAAATGTTTGTATATAATATTAACTTATATATACGGCGAGTAATTAAATCTCTGGTAATTACGCGCCAAAATAAAAAATCACTATTAGAAGCCAAATAAATTGATTCAAAATTCAAATTTTTATATTTAAAGAACAATGTTAGGATTGACCGTTATAAAATTTATTTCAATTAAAAATTACATCATGAAAGTGATCATTTTGAAGAAAGTAGATAAAGCAAATAAGTCACGATATTAACACTAAAACTAATACTTAAATATTCAATTTAAGGTAATATTCCTGTTGCTGACAGCTTGTCTACTCTTCTTTTTATAAAGTTTATATTATTTTGATATCTGTTTTTATGTCACTTCTGAGTTTTTCTCTATAAGTTTTATCAGGTGATTATTAGACGACTATTTTATTAAAAATACGAAACAACAATAACGAACAATAAGACTTTTACTTTTAGTATACAATCCAAAATATTTAAAATACTTCCCCAACTTATATAGATTGTTGAAGTGCAAGGCAATAACATAAACGATGTTAATAGTTTGAACTGAAATTAATTGGTTGGCTACCGATGAAAGGAGTAGTTTAACGTGTTATAAATTGTCTATTACTTAACTACCGCTATAAAACACTTAACTGTACGTTTACTTACAATTTCACTTCTCTAATGTTTTTAATATCAATTTCTTCAAAGTAAATAATATAGATACTACAAAACTAAAGGGCGGAAAAATCGTTTGAATATTAACATTTTTATTGTTATTTAAAGGAAAGGAATTATCCCGTGATTTTTAGTAATTATAAGTATAAATAATGACCGTCTTTAAAACAGTATGTAATTATAGTGTCTTTAATAATAATTTTAAATCTAAATAAATAAAAATAATTCATCATTGCCTTGCCTTTATCCCATAATTTGGGGTCGGCGCAGTATGTCATTCTCTTCCACTGATCTCTATCGGCCGTCATATCTGAGCATACTTCATATCATCTGTCACACAATCCATCCATTTTTTTAGGGCGTCCTCTCCCTTTCCATCCACCCACGAAAATAATTAAATCTATAATTATAAGTCTCTAAATAAATAAATAATAAAAATGTGTGCTCTAGTTCGAATTTTTCAATTAAAATTAAACAGTAAGTACGGGAAATACGGGATACAGGAAATATCTGAATATTTTTACTCTTTAAAAAGAGAAATTGTATTATTACAATTTTTATACAAGTATTTATGTATTTTTATCTTTATTTTATCAGTGAAGTGTACATTATAATGTTGTCCTGATAAATCGGCTTGAACATTTTTTATAACAAGATTACACGTACTTGCAGTATCTAGAATCATTTGTAAGACTGTGTTCGTATTGAAAATATTGTTTAAAATCCGATAAAACGATATGTGTTGTACATTTTCTATCCTATTAGGTCACTTCCTCATTTTGGTGCTGAACAATTACGAATAGTGACTCACTCACATCTGCCGTGTCTATGATTCGATATAATACATAATACAGCGCCGACATTCGAATGAACCCTACAAAGGTCAATTCCCAATTAGTGAATTGTTGGAAAAATCAAAAGACTTTCAAACTGCTGATATAAAAACGTAATATGTTAGCTTCTTGAATAGGGCTCCATCAGTTGCATGCAGTAAATGTTACATAATTATTTACTAATTTAAATATATCTATTTAAATGGTTGTTTGAAATAGTATGATCAAAAGTGTATATCTTTTCCGTACACATTTTTTTTATATATAATGGTAGGTACTTTAGTAATGTGGAGTATTTTCTGTTAACATTGCTGGCAATAAGTCAATTCAACTACATTAAAACAGTTCGTAGTCGAAGATCAATATCACGGCTTGGTTTGAGACTAATTCAAAAAACCAATGGTCTTATAAAAAAAAATATATATGTCTTCATATCGTATAGAAATGGATGTGTTTATATATGTAGGTATAACATTCTGAGCTGTAACTGTACACATGTTTGTTTTTTATTTTATCCATTCAAAAGTAGTGAATGGTGTTTGTCATTCGTGTCATGTTACATCAGAATTAGCTGCTAACTCAACATGACAAACAATTAATAAGCCCTTGCTCAAACTTTTAATTTGTTGGAGTGGGAAGCCAGAATAATAATAAATTTAGACGATCAAATCCAGTCGGGACAATTCTGTACTGTTTTAACTTACATTTAACATGTATTTATTATCAATATATTTCGCTCTATTTGTATAATATCTTTTTAAATTATAGCCTATGGGTTATCCTGATATATAAGCTATGTTACTGTGAAGTTTTATCAAAATCCGGTCACTAGTTTTTGCGTGAAAGATTAATAATTACCCATAAATCCATCTATACATCCATACTCACAAACTTTGGCGTTCATAATATTAGTTTAAGATATATTATCATGTTTTGAGGTTATTTTAATGTAATGAGTTTCTGTAAAAAAAAGACAAGCTTGTACTTTAACAAATTGTGTAGCTATATTTATACAATTTACAATATTAACATTATCATCATGACAATTCTTTCTTAATAAGACAATTTGGCCTTTCGTTACCACGGTATACTTTTAAGTTTAACTTTTTTTGTTCTGATGTATTTGTGTTTTATTCTCTAGAAACGTAAAATAAAGCGGTGATAAAATGGAGCGGTGATACACTGTATTCTTACCTCTTCATTTGGAGACATATGTGCGATAGTGTTATTTAGTAATAATTTAGCATTTATTGGACATACCAGAAATTTGCTATATTAAAAGTTAGTCATTTCGAGAAAATAATTTAGGTGACAATTGCAATGGCATTATTTCAACATCATATTTTTCTTGTATTCTAACCGTTCATTCCTTCCCTTTAAGATATACTGGTGATGAAACGGAATAGTGACGCATCGTATTCTTACTGCGCCACCACACGATACCAATATTGGTGTCTACTAGTAAATTATTCAGCACATTAGTGGTCATGACAGCAATTTGTCCAATTGAAAGTTTGTGATGTCAAGGAATTGGCTCGTCTTGATTTACTCGCCTCCTGCCCTCGTGTGTTAGGGCATTACAATCACTTTCACAACACGTCAAGTGTCATTGATCCATTACTGTGAAGTGTTGCTCAATTCATTCTGATCTATAAGTACCTTTTAGGGTTTTGTAGTCGAATAGAAAATGATTTAAGTTCAATTTAGTAGGTTTTATTTATATAAAAAAATATAAAATATTGAGAGCTACCATATTTTTCCTTCTTTTAGCTGCAGAACACCGATCTTTACTCATAAAGGCAATATTGTAAATGAGAATTGAGTCAAATATAAAACCATGTTTCTGTTGTTAAGTATCGTGAACAAAAGTGAAAGAAAAATATTTAAAAGTAAATATAAACAAGTATATTATAATAATAATTACTATGTAATAGTTTATATTAAATGTTAACATAAGATACTAAATACAAACCTGCGTAATGCTAATTAGTTTACAAGTGGATTAAAAGATTAATTTTATCATTATGAAGACATACCCGTAATCACTGCAAAAATTGTTGATAATTTAATTATAATTATAGTATTTTAATATCTTTTGTTTTGGGTTTTGTTTTGTATGCATAATAAGACAGCACCAATCCCATGGTACTAAGTTTACAGTGTTATATTTGCATAATTATTGCTATTAAATTTTTAAATACAATCTTTTTTAATTAGTTGTATACTAAGTGAAAACTACTATACAATAAAACAAAAATCTTTTATCTACGCCTAAAGTCAGCTTATTGATTACAAGTTTCTTTTTAATGGATGATAATGAAATGGTGCATCGTACCTAAACTTTTCCCCCGATTACAAGTCATTGAAGAATGATACCGATTATACACCTGAGAAATTTAAGCTTTGTGATTTTATATTATTTCTTGAAAAGAAAATCAGTAACATACCTCATATGAAACAATTCCCTCTGAATTAGAGCGGACATCTCAAAACAGGATAAGGTCGATAAGAGCGAGGCAAGGACAATCAGTGCGCGTGAGAGGAAGTGACCGATTCGGTGGCGCCTGCGCATCGTGTTGAAAGTGTCAAGAGTGGTCGGCAAATCCGGTTACTTTAGCTATATATTTAGTTGTTAATTTGATATGTAATATAGTCTGTATATCTTTTGAGGAATTCAGATTATATATACAGATCAGGTTAAAAAAGGAAATTAATCTAATAAACTGCGCATAATATACGTGATTTTTTATACGTAGAGTTTAAAAAATATTTAATAAGTAGTCTTTGTTATTATTAAAGAAATTGATAATATGTTTAATGATCACATCGTATCGGGAATATCATGAGGCAAATGGGTTACTCTGATTATACGAAATAAACTGCAACAACTAAATATTACATATAAAGTTTGAAAATTCATTTAAAAATAAATGTTTTTTTATTTGTTGTTAAATTTGTTAGTTATAAATATATGTTTAATGATTACTGTAGAATGAATTAGTCCAAGTATTATTATTATTATCGGTCAGAATCAAACCTTCAGAGTATAAATCGGGGTAGTAGACCACTAGATCATATGCCACTCTCCAGCTTTCTATCTGCATCATCAATACCATAAATAATATTGATACTTCATAGGCTTAGTGAGTATGACGTCAGTATAGATATATTGGATGACTTATAAATCCATACATAAATGTGTTTTTGTATATTTTGGGTAAAATTCCAATGTATACCTAACGATAAATCAGCTAAAGGCTTTTGATAGTTTCTTAAAGGTCGACAATGCACACCTGACACCACTTGTGTACCAGGCGTCTATAGGCTACGGTAACGGTGTATCATCAGATGGACCATATCGTAGTATAAAAAAAGGACTTCACGTCATATTATAAACCGATTGTAATCATGAGTTGCGGAGAATT